TTAAAAAAAAAAAAAAAAGATTTATTTAATTTAATAATTATCGTTATTTTTTAAGGATAGAAATGAAAGGTTTATTTTACAATTATCATTAGGAGTTACAAAAATAATATTAGCAATTAGTAGATTGTTTTTCTTATCAAATTTCTGTATAATTATCATTAATTATAGAAATTCAAATCAATAGACAAGAGTGCATTTTTTTTAATAATTATTATTTTTGGATTGTTAAATAATATATTTTTTATTAAATTATTAACATTATAAATAGATTTGATGAGAAAAATGTTTTTTTTTTTTATTACCAGAATTAAGAGCAATTATCTGCTTTTATCAGTTGCAAATACATTAATTAATTACTCTCCTGTTAAAGTTAAATAATGCAAATAAAATATTATTATTTTTTTTATATTCTACTCTATATAAAGAAAAATAATTTAAAATGAAACTATCTTTCTGTGTAATTTCAAATGAAAGACATTCTTTAATATCCATACTATTCTAACACACTACATTATCGTTAATTATAGCAAAGTTTCTCCAATTATAATTGTCTAGAATGCTTTAAACTAACATCAAGCAAAAGTCACGATCTTTATTGGGGTCATATGTAACTAAATACTTTCTAAGTCATCAAGGAAGCAATATATACTTTACTGCACACCATTATCGGAACAATAGAGGAAACAGTTAAGACATGAATGTTTCATAGATGGGGAGAAGAAATGAAAAAGTGTCTTTAGTCTTTATCGTTTTATCACTTCCGAACTTTTATAAAAGCTTTAAAAATATATATAAGAATTTCTAACACGTAACAGATACAGAAATGATAAAGGATAGTAAGACTCACGATTGACAACCGGTGGTTTTTCTTCACCGTTCATCTTCGCTTCAATTTGTTCTGGTTTGTTTTCTTCAGTTCTTTCTTCGACTTTAACGTCTTTGCTGATATTACATCCCATCTTGCTGCCTGTTGCCTATCTTTTACTTTACGAAGAGATGGCAGTTTTGATACCAAGACTATTGTTAAGTACGTGTTACATTCCAAAATAGAAGAGAACTTCCGATGTCACCGCTCAACTTCATCCATCCGAAAATCTCTCTACGACTGACTTCCCATCAACTGCTCCTCCGCAGCATCACCACCGTGCACAGTTCAAAGCAGACACAGTCAAATACAGAGTGACAAAGACGGGGGTTTCGCCAAATCTCCACCAGAGAGCGTGATCTGGGCGTGGATACGATCGATAAGAAACTGTCAGTGATGAAGGAAAATTTTCCTCCTCTGTATCAACCTCCTCATTGGTCCTCCGCTACAAAAATAAATCCATTTTTGATATATATCTTTTCGTCATTAAAATTTATAAATAATCTATCAGCTTGTATAATTTACAACCCTTTTATTCAAATGTTTAATGGGTCCGAATGCGTTAATGGGTTGGTTCTATCGGTACGTTGTAACGAGAGCGAACCTAACACTTCCTAATTTATTTCTAATTATAAAAATTAATATAATTTTAACATAGGAAAAAAAAACATGTTTTAAATACAATTTATTCTTGATACAGTATTAAAATATTAAGAAAAATTTAATTTTTTTTTCTAACGATTTTTAAGCACTAAGCACGTGTTTATGAATATTTTACATTATAAAATTACGTAAAATCTCTATTTAAATATTATTTTGTTGCTATAGCAGAATACAAAAGCTAAATTAGATACGTGAATGATTTTCTCTCTTGATCTATTATAGTGTCACGATAAAGACATGGAACCAACTTTGTTACATGCATAGGCTTGATCTTTTTTTAATGCCACCAAAAAAACAAATCAGATATGGTACATACTCTTTATTCTTAATATATTTTAGCATTCTGCTGTATACAAGAAACCAAATTTAGCAAGAGAGTTACTTAAATTCCACTCCTATTCAGTAATACAAAAGAGAAGAGGATTCAAATTTAATCGCTTTTGTTTACGTTAAAACATGATACTACTACCATACAAAGTATAGATTTTAAGCATAATTTATTATATAATTACATTCGATCCGATAAATATATATATTAAATTATAAATATTTATTGAAAAGTTTTAACTGTCTATAATAAAAATTATATATTTTAAGATAGGAAATTTAAAATATAATCGTTAATAAAAGCAGAAATTTAAACCTTATTTTTTTTTTAAATATTGATATTTTGATGCGTAAGGAACTTCAAAAATTTTAACTCTGTCACGGAATTATCGCATTAACTCTGGGATTTTAACTAATTATTATGGTTTTGGATTCTAAATGTGAATGCGATTATCTCATTAGTTCTAAACCGTTAATTATTCTTAAGGTTAAATTTGCATCCGATGTTAGCATCCTTATAAGATTTACTATTGAAAAGATGCCAATAAAATATGCGTTATTAATAATAAAGTAGAATTGTTTACTATGTAAAACATCTTATCTTTAGTGTTTTTCCTAAAAGTAAAGGCTATTTTAATAAGTTAAAATCATAAACTTACTATTTTAAAACGTGTACAACGATAACGTAAAGTCAATTTTAAAGTAGAGAGAGATGAAGCATGGAGATGAATAAGTGATGCGATCAACAGAAATCATTGAGACGACAGGTGTACTGAATGACAAAGGTTATTCAATAAATCATACAACCGTTAATAAATTATTTAAAACATTTTGTCTCTAACTCTATCGATACCAGAATAGTTTTTTCTTCTTCTTTTTTGTTTGTTGTGATCAATAAAAAATGAAAGAAGTGGTTTTAGAAATAGGAGAAATCTTTAAAAATCGTTCTTGAAATTTCCTATAAAAATTACATTTAAAAATCCATTTATCTACTAAAAGAAATGTTCTTTTGAGACTTTCCATCATCAGAATTTACGTATCTAATCTGAATATCTCTTTAAAAAATACATATATTTTTTTTAAAACTATTTATTTTATAAAATCGAGAATGGATCGTTTACAAAAATTCTTCTTTAAAGTTAACTATTCTAACACACTACATTATCGTTAATTATAGCAAAGTTTCTCCAATTATAATTGTCTAGAATGCTTTAAACTAACATCAAGCAAAAGTCACGATCTTTATTGGGGTCATATGTAACTAAATACTTTCTAAGTCATCAAGGAAGCAATATATACTTTACTGCACACCATTATCGGAACAATAGAGGAAACAGTTAAGACATGAATGTTTCATAGATGGGGAGAAGAAATGAAAAAGTGTCTTTAGTCTTTATCGTTTTATCACTTCCGAACTTTTATAAAAGCTTTAAAAATATATATAAGAATTTCTAACACGTAACAGATACAGAAATGATAAAGGATAGTAAGACTCACGATTGACAACCGGTGGTTTTTCTTCACCGTTCATCTTCGCTTCAATTTGTTCTGGTTTGTTTTCTTCAGTTCTTTCTTCGACTTTAACGTCTTTGCTGATATTACATCCCATCTTGCTGCCTGTTGCCTATCTTTTACTTTACGAAGAGATGGCAGTTTTGATACCAAGACTATTGTTAAGTACGTGTTACATTCCAAAATAGAAGAGAACTTCCGATGTCACCGCTCAACTTCATCCATCCGAAAATCTCTCTACGACTGACTTCCCATCAACTGCTCCTCCGCAGCATCACCACCGTGCACAGTTCAAAGCAGACACAGTCAAATACAGAGTGACAAAGACGGGGGTTTCGNCTTATTGCTTAGTTTTAGCTTAAATCAACTTTCTTACATTCTTAATCTTAACTCGAAAGGGAACTAAATTTAGAAATGACAAAGAGTTAATAGCCAATATTGTTCCAAGGAAGATTTTTCTTCTGATAAAGTCACGTTTCACGGAATATGATCGTGACGACACAATGACTAGGATGAAGTTAGATTTTTATCTCGATTTTTATTCTTTTTTCTATCATTTTCTTACATGAAATTTCATTTAACTAAACATTTACTCTGATGCCTTCAATTTCCTATCTGAAATTGGTATACAGTTTTAAATTTAAACTATTTTAAAGCATAAAATAAATGTAGTTAATTGTCGTTTTATTAGTCTGGAAACAGTAATAAAACGTAGAAAAAAATATTATTTTAAGTGCCTTATAACAAAAAATAAATAAATAAATAAACTGAGAGAGCCAAGTATTTTTTTATTTTTATTCTTTAAAATCTTTTAGAAATTTAAACAAACATTTAAAAAAAATCTAAACAATGTCTAGTAATAAGTAGAAGCTTCGTGGAAAAAATATTAAACGTTTTCGAGCTTAAAATAAAATTTTTTAAGATAAAATAATAATCGATTAGCTTAGATTTTCTATCGTAAAAATAAAGTAAAAAATGGAGATTTGAATCTTCTTATTTATTTTATTAAATAATTTATAAAAATTATCCAAAAAAATAAGATTTATTATGAAGATAAAATGTGTTTATAAATGAAATTTATGAAACCATAAGGCTAGAGAGTATATTGGAAGAAAGGATAAAAATATTGATGAATGAGGAATAGCAGTAGTCATGGGATTTTCCTCTTAGGGTGATGAAGTCATCTCGTCGATATAAGAGTCATATTTTATTAAAGTAAAAGTTTCTTGAAAGACATATGTATATATAAATAGAATTATACAACTAGAAATACATTTAAAAATTATTATTTTATATTAATTCAATATAAAAATCATACATTTAAAGGTGTACAAATAGCGCATAAATTCTTAAAACATTAAAGTACGTAGCTTTATTNACATTTAACAAATAATGTATTATAATGCAACTATATAATTTATCATATAAGTTAGGGAAATAATCATCGACTACATCATCATAATTTCAGCTTTATTAAAGTTTAAAAATCGATACTTTCGAACAAAAATCCTTAACTGAAACTTTCATAAATACTCGAAATATGTTTTTAATCTATTCTGTTCGAGAAGTAATCAACTATAAACAGGATGCAGACCACTTAATTTGGATTTTTACTTGTCGTGCAAGGATGATAAATACATAGAATCAATCGCAAAAAATGCAATAAGCCTAGTTTTTACGACGTGTTTATTTATTATGAAATTTCTTCAATCTAAATTTATGATAAATCTCTTCGGAAAATGACCTTATAAAAAATTTATTTTAAACGGAAAAAATTTTTTTTTAAATAAATCGTCTCGTCTGGGATTTGACTTTATGGTAAAATAAATCTTATCGTGTAGTTGAGCATATTTTTTGATTTTATTAAATAATTTCTTTATCATTTTATTTTTATTTTTAAATCATTTATTAAATAATATTCAAATTTGTTCTATAAAAAATTTACGATTTATCCGAATATTTATTGAAAGAAAAAATCAAAGAGGAAGATCAATAAGAGTAAGAGAAATATATTTTTATATAACTTTTACAAACTTAAATCATGTTTTAATACTTAAAAAATCATTAATAATTTCCTTATTTATAAACTTTGAACCGAAAAAAATTCGTTTCTATTTTTAAATCCATCGGAAGTTAGGAAAAAAATAAACTTTTGCGTCTATTTTTAGATCCATTTATAAACAAAAGAAAAAAATTTGTTTCTATTTCTAAACCCAATTGAAACTACAACAACAACAAAAAATCAATTTCTTATTCTTCCAGTACTGAAAATTGTTCTAGAATTTCCTATAAATCTTCTTACCGGATGCGTTTACACGATAATATAATTTTAAATATTCAATTCTTTTTATATTACTAGAATCTAAAGCATAGAAACTTCACTCCAGCAATACAACACATCCCATTTATTTCGGATTTAGACAGCATAACCTGTTGATGTTACCCTTATAGCTTTACTTTATATTATAGAGTGAAGCACCTGACTTATCTATAACAGTTTATTTGCCATGTAAACCGACACTCGACTGTTCCTGTAAACAGATATCGGCCATTATCTTTATTGCGCAACAGTGTCTGGGATATTGTGATATTGCATTGCTGGTAACCATGACAGCATTGCTGTTTTGCTGTTACATCACAGAGAAAAGAATATATTATTATTATTATTATTATATCACTTCCATGCATTGTATTGAAGTCAAAATTAATAAATCGGTAATAGGAAAAAAAACATGAAAGAGTAAAAATAATCCTTCTCCCCTTTGAAGGAGAGACATAAAAAAAAAGGTATGTGTTTAGAATCGATCTATGCTATATTAACTGATGAAATGG